ACAAACGAAAACTCTGAGCCTATCAGATTCAAAATCTTTGAACACAGACCCGATGGATTCTACTCAAGACATCTCTACACATAGCGTACCATATTCAAGACATGCTTGTAGATCAGTAAATAACTTCAGTAGTGATTGATTGTTTAGATCGTATGTCATAATAACGGTAACAATTAATGAACGAATTGGTGCTATTCCATATTGGTTAATGATTTCGAAAGCCATTTTAATGCACTCAATTTTTGTGTATATATATTCTAATAAAATTATATGAAATTAATATGTAACCATGATTAATCTTTCCATCAGATTTATCATAGTTAATTATATGACGGTTATCTGGTTGTTAAATTCGTATCATTTTATGGATATATCTGAAAGAAAATACAAGTAAATATAGTATGCTTGAAAGAAAAAAAGAACGAAACATATTTATTTACAGAAAAAATCAGACAGAAAAATGATTAATATTAAATATATAATGCTATGCTACTCCTCCACCGCCTCCATTACTTGGTGATCCTGGACCTTGCTGTGCATCCATTTCATCGTCTTGTTCACCACCTTCACTTTCTTCTTCAGCTTCATCACCATCTTCATCATCCTAAAACAATAAAAAAAAACGAAATTTATTATTTGATTTTTTTAAATAATCATACATCGCCATTGTCCATTTCTGTTCGTCCATGAAATGGTAAATTTAAACCTTAAATTAAATTAATTTAGTTTAAAATTGAATAAAACATGTCAGAAAGAAAAACCTTTTTCAAGATAACGTCGTCGTTCTTGTTCAAGTATTTCTTCAAATTTAGATAAACTGACATCTTCTCGAACTAAAAATACATTATCAAAATGAATCTTTCAATATAGTTATTTTCTACCAGGTTGTAATGGTCGAAACCATAATGAGTTAACTTTTGATGTTTCAATTGTTGGCCAAAGATGTGATGACATTTTTTTTTTCCTTCCAACGAAGAAAAATATGTGAATTGAATTTTATTTCTGCATTTTTCCTATAATATTTTCAACTTCCTTTCATTGCGACCAATAGAAAAATAGTCAAAAGCCTCTACAACTAATTGGATAATATCTGTTCACATTTTTTTCGTTATATAATAATAAGTTTTTTCTATAAAATTTAGCAATTTTTAATATTAAAATGTTTTACTTGTAATGTACTGACTAAAAACAAGAAAAAAAAAAACAAATTACGAATTGATATTTGTTGGAATTTTCTTTTATAGCATTTTTATTTTTTTGTTTTGTTCTGTTTTTGAAGATTATATTTCGATAAAGATGAGTGTTGCAAGTTATAGTAAATGTCGTATTCAATTCATTCCAAAGGAACGAGAAAGTCCTGAAGTTCATTATTCGGATAGAACATTAATTGAATTGAGACAATATGATTTTGATGATTTTTCATTACGAACTATTGATGTAGATAATAACAGAAAGGTATGACAATAGTTTAATTCAATACTTAATTTATAGAAAAATCAATCAATTCTAGGAAATCTTTAATGTTCCATTTAAACGACCAGATCAATATAAACGTGCACAAACAGTCAATCAACCAGATGCCATTCGTAATGATGATGGACTTTACTTGTTATGGTTAAACGAGACTACACGTGATCAATTTTATCAAACATTAGATACATGTATCGAACAACAGAACTTAATTTCCAAAGATACGCCTAAACCTTCATCTCCTCCACCTGACACAAAACCAAAAGAAGACAAACAATATACTCCTAAAACACAACCAGCACGACCAGTACCCGACAATAGAAATGGTAAGATATTCTTGTTATTTAGAAAATGATTGGTTTCTTATTTTTCAAATAAATGAACCAATAGTAAATAAGACTAAAAGACTTCACGGCTATAAACATGTAGTTCGGATGTTCTTATAGATTTTTTTTTTAGTATCATGTTTGACTTTGACATATAAAATTTCAAAGCAAAGAAAATTATACTTGTAATATTTATAATTATAGAGATAAAATTATATCTTAAACAGTAACGAGATTCATAATAAATATATGATATTATATTTTTGGAAGATTTTATTGCCTTGATAATGATAATTTAAAGATTTGTCGAACCAACTTTTGCTTGTTTTCTCTTGAAAATTGTTCTCGTCATACTAATTAGATTTTTTCAGCAAAGAAAAAAACTATTAGAATGTGAGACAATAATTTATTGTTGTAAATTCTATTTTGACTAATATTAAGAATAAATATAATCAACAAAAGTAAGATAAACAATATTAATATGATCAATACAAATAATAAAGAGAAACTTCGAAAAATAATGCATCTTTAGATAAATAAATTTTTTTTTTTTGTTTTTATTCTGTTGAAATATTATTTAAAAATTGTTTCGTAGAAGTTTGTAATCGATTTCTTAAAAGATCGAAAGCATTTCTTTCTCTATTCAATAAATATTTTCGTATTGTTATTAATTTGTTGAATATTTGAATCTTGTAGATGTTTTGGTTGATATTTATCAATTGGGTCAACATATAAGACAAGGTGATACTGATAACGCTGTTGCTCTAAGTAGGAAATTAGCTAATCAACGTATTTCACTTCAAGCAAAACCATGGTCAAAATCGAAAGAAGAACAGACCATTCAGTATGTAAACAAATAATAATTTGTTTTTTTTTTTTTTTTTCATTTTAATTTCATTTATTATTTTATAAAATAGAATTACAATAAAAATTGATAGTAATGATCAAAGTTTTAGTAGCAGATATGATCCAATTACTATGGATGTTTTTCCATCAACGAAAATTAATGAATTACGTACTGCTGTAAGTAAAAATAAAATATAAATTAGGTTTTTGTTTTTTGAAGATTTTATTTTGTTTATTATAGTTAGAATATTGTAATTTTAATTTACCAGCAAATCAATATTTTTTTGTTAATGGTCATTTAGCTCATGAAAATTGTACAATGGAAGAATTAAATATTCAACCTCGTTCACTTTTTATTTTATTTATAATTCAATAATAATAGAATAAAAAGAAAACATCAATTATATTGAATTTATTGTTTATGATTTATTTAAACAATTCTTTTGTTTTTTTTCTTCTTTTACTTGATATTAATAAGACTACAATTCTTATAATAACCTTTTTTTTTGCATTGTGATATAACACTTTCTTTTTTTTTTCGTTTTTATAATCTAGATAAAATGGCTGTTGCAAGCTATAGTAAATGTCATATTCAATTCATTCCAAATAATCGACAACGTCCTGAGCATAATTATTCAGATAGAACATTAATTGAATTGAGACAATATGATTTTGATGATTTTTCATTCCGAGCTGTTGATGTAGATAATAACAACGCAGTATGATAATAATTGAATTCAATATTTAATTATAGAAATAATATTTTCTTTTTGTAGGAAATCTTTAATATTCCATTTAAACAATCGGATCAATATAAGTATGGACAAACAGTCAATCAACCGGATGAGATTCATACTAATGCTGGAACTTATAAATTATGGTTGAATGGTAATACACGTGATGAATTTCATCAAACAGTAAATACATGTAGCGAATTGCTACCTTCTGATAAACGACCGAATTTAGCTTTCAACGATTCAGATCAAGATACTGATGATGATGATGATAATGACAGTAGTGATGTCTTCGATGATGATACTCGTAATGAATTTGATATACATGTTCCACCTGTTGCTTGTCCCAAGGGTGAGATTTTCATAAAAATTTGTTACATAATCTTATTAGAATGTACACATTTATTTAAGTAAAGAATACATTAACGAAATTGAATTAGTAATAGGAATCATTTTTAAAACAAACATTTTTTTTTTTGCAACCAGATAAAATATATATTAATTTTGATTATAGTTCTAATATGTTTCTATTGACTTCATATTAATTGAGATCATCATTTTCGATTGATAGAAAATAACTATTTTTGTTTTGTTTTAAAGTTTTCATTACTTTTTAAACATCAGTAAAAGTCAATTTCGAAAAATAAATTACTTAAAAACGATTCTCATAGTTGTCATTCATTCCATATGATTGTTTCATAAATAAATAAATAATACCATTAAAATAATTTTCTATTTATATTATAGAACTTCTACTTGAGACTTATCGTTTGGGCAAATATATTGAAATAGGTGCTTCAAATGCAGCTGCTCAATTAGCTTCTGAATTAGCTTCACAAAATATTCGACTTAAAGCAAACTCACTGAGAGCAACAGAAAATGAAAAAGAATTCACGTTTGTTTAATAAAATATTATTTTTTGTTTAATATTTATTTATTTATTTATTTTTTCTAATAAATAGAATATATGTTCAACTTGATGGCAATGAATATGGTATTGATCAAAATGGTGGGAAAATTCCTGTTGATGTTTTTCGATTAACAACAGTTCGAGAATTACGTGCAATTGTATGTAAACGAAACAAAAAAAAAAAAACAAGACTTATTACCTTCTATTTATATAAATTATTTAATTTTTTTAGTTCGAATTCGCGTATCAGTATCCTCCAACTAATCAATATTTTTTTGTTAATGGTTGTTTAGCTCATGATGATTCAACAATGAAAAGTTTAAATGTTGGACCAAATTCTTTATTTGTTTTATTTGTCTTAACACATCCAAGAAATTTTCAAAACATTGCAAGTGTATCTTTCATCATTTTGTTTTTTATTCATTAAAATTAATGATCATATGTTTATTTTTCAATAGGGTCCTTGGGAATGTTCAATTTGTAAAAAAAATAATGATCAACATCATTTTCGATGTGTGACATGTGCAGCCGCACGTACAGACTGAGAATATTCATTTTTCTTTTATTGTTTTTTTAAATATTCTAAAAAAAATTGTCATAATTTTATATATTTAGTTTTTTATATGATTTACTATTCTAGATAATTATTTTCTTGTTTCAATAAATGAAATATGGCTACATCGTCAGTTCAAAATGTAGGAATAATTTAATATGTTGTTCTTATTAAATTTGAAATAATGCTCTATTCAGTGTCTGTGTCCAGATTGTATCTACCGGAAGGACAAGTTAAAACTCATTGTGTGCGAACATCTATTTTTAGGAGCACAGACACATAGTACGTAATACAATAACTACAAAATCATGGAGGGTCAACCGGCTCTTCGAAAGGGCTTTGCCTTGTTGGCTGTCATACTTGATAACATACTGATTCTATTGAACATAATTGAAATACATAAATTGTTTCTATTAGTATTAAGCAGTTATGAAAAGTTAGTTTATAAGGAATAATATCGTTTTTGAGGTGATATATTATTCCAGTGTGATGATGATACAAATTAAGGAAAATATCATTGAGATTTGTATACAGGGTTATCCCGAGTAGGAGGGTCATTTTTTCCAATCTTGAGAAATTTTTATTTTTTCTTCGGCTCAACAATTCTTACAAAGCTGAAACTTTCTAATCGGTATACTGAGTCATCGACTCCCTTCCCCTTCTAGTTCCAGCAAACTCCGGACATTTCTTTTTTGTATATTTTCAAAACTAATGATTATTTTTCTTAGACAACCAATGATTCATCTTCAAGTGTAACACCAGTGGTAAATAATTAATTTTGAATAGATATTTATGAATATTTTATTTCATTATTCTAGTCTGCTTATTGGGAATGTGTTGATTGTCATACATATAATCCATCATCACGTAAATCATGTAAAACATGTCGTCGTCTTCGACAAGATTTACTTGATCAATGTCTTAAAGAATCAAAAACACAACAGGTAACCATTGAAATTTTTTTTTGAAATAGTTTTTATTTTATTGTTTATTAATAATAGTCTGAGAAAACAGGTATTGAACCAAAATTAAAAACTTCATCGAATCAAATAACTACAAATAATAACAACGAATCAACTTGCTTTACAACTACAACAACAAAACCGGTAAAAATAAAAAATCTAAAAATTTTATTATTGAACTGATTCATCTTTTTTTTGTTTTGTTTATTTTTTCCATGTTTATTTAGCCACCAAATTGGTATTGTGTTATTTGTTCACATCATAATTGTAATAATGATTCAGCAACAATATGTGCTGGTTGTGGAAGTATATTTATGACAAATATAGAATATCTTAATTTTGTACATGAACAAGAAAAACAATTATTACGTTATCAAGAAGATTCCAAAGCATTTCGAGAAGATTTACGTGAACAAGCACATGCTGCTTATTATAAAAATAATGACGAATTTGAATGTATTATTTGTTATGAATTAATAGGAAAAAATAAGGGAGTTTTATTTCATCATTGTTTACATCCAATGTGTAAACGTTGTGTATTACAAATGATTGAAACAAGTACTGAACCATTACTTAAATGTCCACATGATGATTGTACAACAATTATTGGTGAAAGAGAATTACGTGGCGTAAGAAAGAAAATTTTTAATTAAAACTAAAACAAAAAAAAAAATTAAAAAGCAACTTATCTTTTCATTCGGATAAATAGGTTGTTAAAGATATGAAACGTGATCAAAAATTAGTTGATAGATTAAATGAAATCGGTGTACGTTGGGCTGAAAGTAGACATAAAACTTTTCATTGTATTACACCTGATTGTAAACAATGGTGGTTCACTGAACAAGTACAAGGAAATAATATCGTCTATTGTGATGTATATTTAATCTTCTATTTTCGACATAGCAAATTTTTAATGAATGGAATTTGTTCTCTTTAAGGGATGTAAACATTGGATTTGTATGACTTGTGTAGCTGTGCATGAAGGTCAAAATTGTAAGTCTTATTAACTTCCTATCATTGTTACTCTATTTCTACAAATATATACAGGTCTAGAATATCAGGAAGATCTCAAAATTCGAGCTATGAACGATATAACAGCTCGTAAAGATCAAGAACATTTAGAAGTAAGATTAACATCAAATAGAAATCATAAATATTTTCAAATAAATAATTATTTATAGGAGATGATCAAAAGAAAAGAAGCAATGCATTGGTAAGTATCTATATATATATAATCTTGTTTAAATGTATACCATGTATAATATATTTAGTCCCGGTTGTCAAGTCATTATACAAAAATTGTCTGGTTGCGATTGGTTACAATGTACACAATGTAAAATGGAGATTTGTGTAAGTAAATTATATTTGTTTTGTTTTTGATTATAATAAAATTTGATGTTTTTTTAGTGGCCAACTCGTGGTCCCCGATGGGGTCCAGGTGGTCGTGGTGATACATCGGGTGGATGCCGATGTCGCATGGATAAAGGCAAATTATGTACAAAAGATTGTCAAAATTGTCATTAAACCAAACTTTAATAAAAATCTTATGTTTTTTGCAGATACATTTATTCTTATTGTGTGATTGACATTCTTTTTATACTGTCAAAATTTCAACTGTGATTATTGACTGTTGTTTTTCTTTTTTTGTTGTTTAAAATGAATAAATGGTTTTTCTTACTTGAACTATACGTTTATTTTTCATTTAATTATTAACTCAATGAATAAATAAAATATATCTTTAGACAAATACATTTTCATGAAAAGATTTTTACATCATATTTAAATATAAATTATTTTTATCTGTCTTTCATTTTTAGAAAGAAAAACAAATTTAATATGCCTTGGCGTCCATTAATGCGTTATTTATCAAATAATGAAGAATTAATTCGTCGTCTTTCAGAATCATATCCAATACGTCGTGCAGCCCAATTAACAGCATATTTTTTAAATGTTGGCAAAGATAAATTTATTGAACAACGAGGTAAATATGAACGAGCAGGAGGATGGAATAAAACAAAAAGAGATGTAAAACATGATTTTAAAGCAGTACAAGATATAGGAAAAGAATATATTTCAACTTTATTTCGACCTTATACAGATACATGGGAAAATTACAAAGAACTTCGTCGACAACAAGAAAAAAGTCAAAAATCATCATCATCTACAACAACAAAAGCAACAACAAAAAATAAAAAACCTTTTTCATAGATAATTCACTAAGATATTATGTCCTTCCTATTTAGTTAGTGCATTAAAGATGTACGAATATTGTTTATTTTTCTCTTTTTCTTTGTATACACTGTATTTGGTTTTTAATATAACGAAAAAGAAATCATCTTAATAATTATTTCATAATTAATGATAATTACATCACGATATGACTTTTAAGCATAATTCCATAAATAATCGGATTTGTAATCATGGAAAGTTTAGCCAAAACTGCACAAGTCGTCATAAGCCATGGATTGTATAAAGAGAATTGATCACCAAATACTTGTGCAAGTGCTACAACACTATATGGTGTCCAAGCAATTATATAAATAATTACACTTATACCAGTAGCTAAAACAAAACGACGATCGTCATGTAAACGATGTAAACGTCGAGTTTCTTTTTCACATAATGCATTTGAAACATGTCGTCGTATATTATCTCCACTTGGTATTGGTTGAAGTTCAAGTAAAACAGACGGTTTTAAATGTGTTAAACGATAAACAGTACGTTGAATGTATACATTAACATAAATAACAACTATGACCGGTATAAAAAAAACACCAACAAATAAAAGAAAAAAATAAATTCGTCCAGCTAATGATCGATTAAACCAATCGAGACCACAATGAAAACCAAGCCCTTCAGGAACATAAGCACTCATACGACCAAATATTGGTGGTACAGCCCAAACACTACCCAAAATAAAACAAATAGCAACAAAATGCCAACTATGTTTTTCAAGTCGTCGTTGCAATTCTGCTGACATTGATGAATTGGCTGTTGTTGCATATCGTACAATTGATAATGCAACAAGCATATACATTGTAAAACAACCATTAAAAAATGAATTAAAACCTTCTATTCGACAAATTAATGATATGCATAAACGACGACAAAGAAAACATTGTGCAACAACTGATGGTACACTAATAATTATGACACATAATGATGATGCAAACATACCAAAGACGAGACCTATGTCACGACGAGGTAAACAATAAATTTTATTATTCATTGGTAATGAACGTATATTAATTATAAATGATATAACAGATATAATAAGAAGTAATGAACCAGCTGATCGTGAAAATTTACATTCATTTACTGTAGCTTTTCGAACTAATGCTGGATTAGTAAAATTAGCAATCGAATATAAACAATCAACAGCAATTGACACTTTAAATAATAACAAATATCCAAATTTTTCTTTTTTTTTTTGTATAAATTCGAATTTGTTACTTACTATCATTCACCGTATTTGACATTTTAGTTCCTGTTATTTGTCAATAATTAGATATCAGATAAAATTTGACTTAAGAAAAACAACAAAAGCATATATATAGTGAATGGATTATAAAGACTGTTGGACGCCGTTTGACTTCATAGAACTTTCTAAGACTAAAAAAAGCCTTAATAATGATTCACATTAGGGATCTGCTGATGAACATTTATGAGTGTTTTAATAAAATGTTTAGTAGGAGCAACTAATTTTCGTTAAATTCAAAAGAAAGAATCTTCTCTTGAAATATTCTCCATACGCAAATTTAATAGTCATTAGATAATCCTCAAAATTGTAATGAAAGCGCACAGCTTTTCTCGAGATATTCAATTTCTAAAAAAATAGCGATTTACTATAGGGAGGGGGGGCACATTAATTAAGTTGGAAATTAAATATCTTGAGAATGACTGTGTATTTTTGTTGAAACTATCGGAACTATCTAATGACAATTAAATCTACCTATAGGCAAAATTTCAAGTGAAAGCTCATTGTTTTGAGTTTTACGGAAATGTGTTGCTCTTAGTAGAAATTTCATTAAAACAAGCAGAATTCTTCATTAGTAAGTGATGAGTTCAAATTCTTTTAAGGTTTTCTTAGATTCATAAGAATCTACTCGTAACCATAATATGAAGTCAAACAATGTTTGACATTCGGATATGTTATCTCGTCCGTATTTACAAAAAAAATGTTGATTATCATATCACCTATTGGAACAAATCTTATTTAACAGATTCGTCTTACAATTCTCAACCAAAATATCTAGTTCTATGTATTTACCTAATTATTTGAGATAATATTATTCTTTTTTCTTTCAAATAAAATAAACAATTAAACTGATGATCAAAAGTTTTAAAAATAACTTTTTCTTTAATTTAATTTCTAACAGTTTTGAATTTTAATCTTGTGCACCTTTTTTTTACCTTTTACTCAGTTTTAAAGAGTTTACGAACCAATCTCATGTAGTTAAATTATGATTTTGAAAAGTCTAATCGTCGTTATCAATACAAACTAACATTGTCGCGATGTAAAAGACTTTAGTTCACACACTATTTATAGATAAAGTTCATTGACGTATTAATTATCTATATTTAGGATTCATTAGAATTCTGTATATCAGACAAACTGATTCACCTGATAAATTAAAGAAACAGCACAAACTGAAGAATTAAAATAACTAAACAAAAAAGAAACATTAGTTATTAAAATTGATAACAATAAGATCAATCGTTTAGTCTATCTAATATAATTTTATCTCGAATATTTAGAGAAAAAAAAGAAGCAGGGTAATTTCGCAAAGAATTGAAGGACGAATTCTTTAAAATAAATGATTCAAATAGACGAAAATATAGTCGAAATATTTCAGAAAAACTGACAAGAACATATTTACAGTTCACCTGTTTATATATATATATATAGAATGAGAGATAGATAGATAAATAGAGACAAACAGAAAGGGAGAATAAGTATGTTTTTCATTCTTCTTGTTTTTTTGCCTTATGTCTGCTTGATGTTAATAATGAACGACGATACATTAATAATTCTTCAAATAATCAAAATCGACTATAGACTTCAACATATTTTTTATGCTATTCTATGTTTCTTTATAATTCAGCAAATGAATATAAAAAGAAAAGAAAAAACACAAGAAATTTAATATGGATGACCAGATATGTATTAAAAAATTCATTTTTCTCTGTTTTGCTCAATATTATATCCAGATATTCTTTTTCTTCTTTCTTTAATCTTTATTAAAAATTAACTCTTGTATGCCTATGAAATTCATAATAACCAGGTATTTGAAAGAAAATATGATATCTTCTATTTAACTCATAGTTTATATTGAGTTTATTTTATTTTAAACTCTTTATCATTTCTTACATAATCAAATAATGCTAAACTAGACATATTATTATAATTCATTAATTTTAAACATAGTAAAATAAAAACTAGATTATATTTATAATTCGATAATGATTGAAAGTTTTTTTCCTTTTCGACGTAAACTATACAACACTTTTACATTTTAATATAGTCATGCGTGTCGTGATACATCTTATTTGTAGAGAGTAATTTGATTCTACTAACATAGACAATATTATTTTGTATTCTTTTTTGTTCTCCTACACAAACAATCGTATTACTTTTCACATATTTAGCATGCTATTAATGAAGTAGAATAGTTGTATAGAATTGAGATTCTAGTAAAGTGCATATTTTATTTGTTTAATCTGTACGAGATTTTCTGGATTATCTTTTTTATCAATCGTATGTTTACTTAGTTGCATGACAATTTAAAATAGAAAAAAAAAGAAAAAGAAAAGTTTTTTCATATGATGAATACTTCATTGCTATCTTATATGTACTAACTGAATAAAATATACGATAGATAATAAATTGAGGTAGAAACACTGTCTTTTTTGTTGAAGCACAAAGTGTATGCATCACATGAACACTAATGAAGCTTGAATATGCGGAAATGGGTTAATTGCTTCAACTTACTCTTGATATGAAATTGATTTTAAACAATTAAAATTTCAGTTAACATGAATGTATTTCTCCTAAAAATAACTTCACTGACTATATCAACAATGAGAAAAAAACATTTACCTAGTATGATATTTTCGAAGATTTACTATTTTTTGTATGATTTATCATGAGAACAGAAAGAATTTAAAAGAAATTTTCCACTAGTAAGAATTCATATTATTATGTCTGGAAAAGTATAATGTAGATAATATTGTAAAATGCTCGAGCATAAAATTTTCAATGAGCAAAAATTTTAAATAAGTGTTTAGATTTCTTAAATAAATATGTAGTTATTATAAATGCTCGCTAGTAACAACAATGCTAAATATGTATCATTTTAATAATAAATGGTTGTTTCATGCTATTAAAAAAAAAGTTCTTTTTCTTTTGTTTGTTTATGTTGGTTTCTTACGAAATATAATTAATTTAAACGTCAATTATATGTCTAGATCTTTTTTATAAGTATTTTCAAACATAATAATATCTTACCTATGACAAATGAAAGATTATTCTAAGAGACTGCAGGACAACTTTTTGTTACGAAGAAAAAAATGGAAAGCTTTTGAATATAACTAATACTGANCCTAACTTTTTTACAAAATAAATGTCAAATTCGTAATCAGCGTTAAAAACTGCATCTAGTAACTCATTCAGATTTGTCCAACTCGAAAAAAAAATTTTTCGAAACTTGATCAGCGAAGTGTCGCGTTACGTGGACAAGCCGTATATCTGTAAGGATCAAATATCAACATTTTTTTTAATAGTATGTGCTACACCGACACTATTTGCCGACAATAAACACTGTGTCTAGTCTGATACTAAAAATAGTCACTTATTTTCAAGCCTTCATTCTAGTGATGTAATCAGAAGATCTTAGGTGTTAGGGCAGCACTCTGTGACCTTGGAGACAATCATATAATATAGTGTCAACAATGGTAGCTAATATATACGTTTTTCTTTTCTTTTTTTTGTGGTGGTAGGGTAGTGCTTGAATTAGCTCATTCTTAGTTACACCACTACTTCTCAATCCATCTAAATTTTCTTAAATTAAAATAAATATATTCGATGAATTTTTCTATTCTATAAAAATTTTACCTCCTTTATTCATAGTTGTTGGATTTTTTTCAAAAAGCAAATTTAATAAAATAGGTCTTAATATTGTTTCAGGTTGATATAATGTTAAATTTTCATTTGCTTTTTTAATAATATAATCAATTATTTGAATATTTTTCGTTGTATTTATTTGTTCAATAAATGGATATAAACAAACAGGTTGTTTTAAATCAAAATTATCTTTTTTTACTTGTTTAAAAAAAGTATAATTTAAATAAATATTTTTTGTTTGTGGTGATATCCATGTTGATAAATAAGGTGTATATGTTATTGTTGATTTATTTAAACAATCATTCTTATCAATATTAATATAATTATTTAATAAATATTTTTCTTGTATTTCTTTTGATAAAATATAATAATCAGAAAAATATTTTTCATAAATATTATTATTATTATTATTATAATTTAATAATTTTGTATTATTATTTAATTCAAATTCATAATTCATTATTTCAATAAGTTCTTTTAAATGTTCATATAATGTTGATGGATCACGCCACCATGTCATATTATGTTTTGGATTTAATTCATTTGGATCAATTATATTTAAATCATAACATTTCGAAGATTTTCTACCTGTACCATAAATAATACATTTTAATTTACTTTCAGTTAAAAACATATTATTATAATCATTTGTAAATAGAAATGTATAATCAAATGTTTGTTTTAAATCATTATATATTATAATTATATGTCCAATATCAGTACCATAATTTGTAACAGCATAACCTTGTGAACATTCATCATTTATATGATGATGATTATTATTATTATTAATTAATAATGATGATGATGATGATGAACATAAACCATATGAACGATAAGCACGTCGTGCATCATTTAATAATTCTTCACGTTTAATAGATGATGTTAAACATGAACGATTAAGCCAACGATTAATCGATGAACGATTATCCACAATTGGTTGATGACCTAAAATTTAATATAAAATAAAATAAAATAAACAAATATTTACTATTTCATAGTGAAATACAAAAACAAAAGAGATTTAGTGCAATAGATAAAATATAAAAAAAAATTGCAGCATACATTGAGTAGTTTGATAATGATAAGATACAAATGTAGCACTGTTAGCTATAGGCATAGTTTTATCATGTATTTTATAATTTTGATTAGACAACATCAAATTCTGTTTCATACTTTCAATTGATATTGATTTTTTCGGAAAATTAGTTTTTTCATGTGAACAACTCATTATTTCCCATGCTGTATACATTGTATAACAATAACTAAGACGTAATTGACGTCGAGCATATATATGTGTTGGATCAATTGTTAATGTACGTCGATAATATTCTTGTGCCGCTGTATGATTATTTTTTGTTAATGCTAATAAATTTCCTAAGAAATAATTTGTTGTTGGTTCATGTGAATTTATTGAATAAGCTTGCTCAGTCAAATCAAGTGCATCTTCATATTTACCCCTATATATATATATATAGATATATAGCAAAGATATTTTTATAATGAAAAATAAATCCTAGAAGTAAATGATAAAATTATATATTTATCACAAATAGTTGGTTTCTTTATATAACGATTCTCAATAGACAATTGAATTCATTTTTCACGATAGAAATATGCAGGATAAACTGCTTCTTTCATATCCTAACGAAGAAAAACTTTCTTATCTTTACTCTCTGCACATCTTTCTATTTCGTAACAATCTGTTTATTTAAGATTTTTTAAAATTGCAATTATGAATACTTTATATACTAGACAAATGAATGTATTTTATACATGCATTCATTTCTTCTTATATCGAAAGTTTTTAATTTCTCTGTACAAGTAAAATGTGTTATCAATTAAGATTTTCAAGAGTTTAGTCGTATCTAAGGAGTATAAAAACAATATTAATTGTTTATTCGATCTCTTGGTTACACTGAAATAATTTTTTCAATATGTAGCTTCATTTTCGAAACAAAACAAAAAACAATTACAATATCAATAAATTTAGTGTGATATAAAAACGATAGCAAGATGTACTACCAATATGAATACTATTCGAAAGTTTTACACAATTGCGAAAAACATCGAATGATTACTACCGACTTTTCAGAAAACTAAAACTTTAGTTTTTCTACAGTAGTCAAACAACAATATCTCGGATCTATATATTTGAAACTTTTATCAATCTAATGTATGATATATTTTACTAACCAAAGATATAAAATATTTGCAAGATTAACAAGTGTTAAATCACTCCATTGTTTATAAACTTTATTTTTAATAATAATTTCATGTGCTTTTAATCCACAATCAATAGCATGTGGTAAATGTCCATTAATACGCCAATAAAGTGATGATAATAAATGAACAATCCATTCTGGTAATAAATTTTCATGTTTTTCTCCAACTGATCTTAAGCGTTGACCAAATTCTTCAATTGGTAATTGTTCATCAATTGTTGAATCAATATAAAAATATAAATTTAATAACATATTTGTATCATAACGATTTATTGGTGCTTTTATACGTGATGAACGCATTAATACATGATGATTTTCAATAATAGATAAANAACCGTGTTAATTTATTTGAAATGATAAGACACGGATATACAATGTTTAATGTAAGAAGACACGGCACACAATAAATTCGAGTGAATGGGTGTCTCTATAATGTTATGATCCTTGATCCAGCCTAACTTCGTTACTTGTTCACCAACCTATTTGTTTATCAATCAATTATACCAGCTGTAACCAGCGGAGACTGAACTGCTTCGTATTCAACTACTAACTGCCTTCTGTTTGTCTCAGAGACACCCATATATAGAGAGAGAACGGGAGAGAAGGAAAAGAGTGAACAATGGGAGAAAATAGACAAAATGGAAGGGAAGAAAAGGAGAGAGGAAAGAAAATCAAGAACGAATTACGCGATGCTCGAGTGAGAACAAGGGGCAGATACCAAAGAACACCCGACGTCCTATGTAAACGCTATTAGTCTCATCACGTTGGGATAATGTGCTTCTTAGCACCGTATGACGCGATATCGACTGGCGTAATCCGAAAAGGCCAAGTGGTCTATTGGCACACCCTCCCCCTTAAATGAGACGCGCTCCCGAGCGTCTAAGATGTAAAGCATAGAGAGGAAGTAGGAAAGAGAATAAGAAGAGAGAAAAAAGAAGAAAGAAAGACACGAAAGAATATTGAACGCTACAAGCTAATGGTAACTAACATGCAACAACTTTGAATGGTGAGGTGGCCACGCCACAAAAATGAAGTGCACAAAATGTAGGAACACAAAACATTCAAAAAGAAACAACTCTATAAGATAATAGTGAGGGGAGCGACAAGTAGAGAAATGTTTTTTTCTTCCTTGCCTGGCGTTCCCCATGTGAGTTATGACAGTGTTCCTGTTAGAAGTGGCTTCGGCTCCTCGTAAGTTGCTCGTAAGGTCGACATTGGAGGTATTGTGATGGTCAGGTTTGTCATTTTTTTCCTTCTTGAGTAGATTTGGAATGTTTGAACCCCAATGATGCCGAAGATTATAACTATCAGAGCAATCGTGGCATAAGAGATAGGGTGATTGGCGAATTGCCAATGACCAGGTATTACCGGTAACTTTGGGGTGTTGGATATAAGGTCCACTATAGCTTGAATGTTGGATGGAACATGTGGTAATTTTTCCCATTCGACATTATTGTTAATCATAGAATGAAGATCGGTGACCATATCATCGACTGGAATTATTGTGTCATTGTATATCATGGAAATTGTCGTTCCCACTTTGAGTGGCCGCCCTGGTAAAAAGAATCGATCGCACGTGAGAGAAGTTGTATCGGCAGTTGTAACGATTGCTACCGGTGGAATGGTGATCTCATGATTATCCAGGACTGTATGGTGATCCGAATCCACTACTCGGATTGCGTGGCATTTAGTAATATCGTTTGTTGATATGGCCTAGTGTTGTCCCATCCGATGAATGAATACTGGGTCTGAGTATGGTTCGATGCGGCACGCTGTTATCGGTGAGTCCTTGAGGATTTGGTAGATGCACGCATCTTCCAGGTCCTTTCGAATGGGAGGAGTGTCCCGGCAACTTGATATCATTCCGAAGTTGCACGCTCCAGCTTCAATTTGAGACCATCGGATAAATTGAGTTGAGTTCGGTTTGACTCCTATGAAGGCCGGCATCTGTGCCAGTCTTACTCGATGTTTGTCATGATTGAAAGGAATTGGTGTTAGTTCATAGATGGAGAAAGTGTTATCATTCACGGCTGGAGCCGCAAAATAGGATGTAAACATTAATTTTCCGATTGCATTTCTGTTTGGTGAGGATTGTATATTCTTTGACGGGATAAAGTCGATTTGTTGTCTGACTAGAAGTCGAGTAATTAGTTCGACCACCGATATNCACTTTGAGTGGCCGCCCTGGTAAAAAGAATCGATCGCACGTGAGAGAAGTTGTATCGGCAGTTGTAACGATTGCTACCGGTGGAATGGTGATCTCATGATTATCCAGGACTGTATGGTGATCCGAATCCACTACTCGGATTGCGTGGCATTTAGTAATATCGTTTGTTGATATGGCCCAGTGTTGTCCCATCCGATGAATGAATACTGGGTCTGAGTATGGTTCGATGCGGCACGCTGTTATCGGTGAGTCCTTGAGGATTTGGTAGATGCACACATCTTCCAGGTCCTTTCGAATGGGAGGAGTGTCCCGGCAACTTGATATCATTCCGAAGTTGCACGCTCCCGCTTCAATTTGAGACCATCGGATAAATTGAGTTGAGTTCGGTTTGACTCCTATGAAGGCCGGCATCTGTGCCAGTCTCACTCGATGTTTGTCATGATTGAAAGGAATTGGTGTCAGTTCATAGATGGAGAAAGTGTTATCATTCACGGCTGGAGCCGCAAAATAGGACGTAAACATTAATTTTCCGATTGCATTTCTGTTTGGTGAGGATTGTATATTCTTTGACGGGATAAAGTCGATTTGTTGTCTGACTAGAAGTCGAGTAATTAGTTCGACCACCGATATCGAACTATTTGTTTCGAGAATTGTGACGTTGGCAGCGTTCATTATGAGTTCTGCCACCTTAGGTAGGTCCCTGTGATGGATGAAGCGTAGATTGAGTTTATTCATGTTTATGTCTTCAATCGCCTCGTGAATAAAATGTATCTCCACCGCATGTACGATTGATTGGAGTCTGCTGCTGAGGAAAATTGCTATCGACGTAAGTGTTCTAAGGGCTGATTCATGGTTCTTAAGGATGTTTGAATGTTCATTTACTAGTTCGATTGTTTTGCCCAAGGCAATTTGCGTGGAGTTGAGTTCGGATGCCAGTTTCATTTGACCGTCGGTAAAGTGTAAGAGTTGAACATTAAATGAATCTTTTAGTTCTGCGAAGGCTCCCAGTGTTTGCTGCACTGCACTTATCTCACTCCTTAAGTTCGCTAATTGCACTGTGTTAGCCGTCGACTCACGCCAGCCTTCGTGGCATTAAGCGATTTGCAACGTGGAATTTTGTTCATAGCGACCATCGGAATCAGGTAACACATATCTTCCATCATGGGAATTTCTACGCTAAACGTAATAATTCTATTCGATGGAGTGTATTCCGATACATAGTGCAAAATGAGACCTGACGAAGTGTGTACCAAGTCTGTTTTCGGTAGATTGGTTATACTTGTGTTCGTATTTGCAATTTCTGTGGTGATCATCACCAGAAAGAACAATATTTGAAAGTCTTTGTCGGACATTTGTAGTTATTCTACGTAGTTGTCTATGGCTTAGCGCTTGGCGTATGTATACGCGTGCTCTCTAATCTCTACGATTTGGTTTGTATTGTTCTGTCCGTCTCTCTTTTTTTTCTCCTTTTTTTTTCCATATATCTCGTCATACCTTATGTTCCGTACCATTAACCTTCATTATGGAGAATGGATTTTTATCCTTGCTCATATATAACTTTTGTGTACTTGACTTTTGTTTAATAAACGATTTTGTGTATGGAGCAAGTTTAATGTACTTGAATTATATATATGAATTTTCCATACACACGTTTTAAGTGAATTAGTAGGAATTTATTGAGTATCGAACCGGTAGCTTACGCTGCCTGCTCGAAGTTCGTTTTCGGTCAGCTTGTTTCTGGGTCGTGTGTGATTGACCAGATTCTGTTGATTCTTGTTCTGTTTCCGAAGTGTCACTAGCCGACGTAGAAGGTTGTTCGTTCGACATTGGTTCGAAATATCGTTTCATTCGATCTACGTTTGTCACACCTAGGTTGACACCATCACTAATTCGTTGAACCATAAAGGTCGAAGGGCCTAATTGTTCAATCAATCGGCACGGACCTTGATATTTTGGTTGGAGTTTTCTGTTTATCGACATGCCACCGATTTGAGGTGTAACATTTGCCACCCAAACTAAATCACCGACATTCAGTTGTCGTAGCGATGTATGTTTGTCATATTTTGTTTTTTGACTGATTTTTTTCACTTCCGAATGTTCACGAACGAGATCATACGTACATCGTAAATTGTGAATTAAATTATTTCTGTATTCGTTAATTTGTATCGATTCAATTGTCGTTGTTGGCGGACCTTCGGTAGGTTCGCCAACTATTAGATCTAGAGGTATCTTTGGATCTCTTCCAAACATCAGGAATGCTGGAGTTTCGCCAGTAGTTTCGTTAACTGCTGTCCGCAGAGCAAATGCTAATTTTGAAACTTCTTTATCCCACGATCGGGGTTGAGATTCTGCAAAAATTGCTAACATTGGTTTCAAGGTTCGATTAATACGTTCAGTTAAGTTGGTTTGAGGATGATAATTAGCCGTAAATTTTTGCTGAATACCCAGAGTCTCGCAGAAGTTTCGAAAGAGATACGATATGAATTGAGGACCATTGTCCGATAATACATAAACAGGCATACCATATCGAGTGAACACTTCATTAATAAGAATTTGAGCTATGTTGATCGATGTAGTAGTATGCACTGGAAATAGTTCCACCCAGCGAGTAAAATAATCAACGACAACGAGTAAAAATCGTTTTTGTCGTGATGTTGTTGGAAACGGTCCCATTATGTCAATGCCAATAGTATGCCATGGTTCGTGTACCGTGTGTAATTGCATAGGATTTGCCAGTGGGGCGTTGTTGTATTTGAATTTTTGGCATGCATGACAAGAGGCCACGTACTTGTAAACGTCTTTGCGCATTGTCTCCCAAAACACTCGAGTGGTGAGACGGAACAACGTTTTCTGATACCCACCATGCCCAGCTGTCGGATGATCATGTGCCCAGGCTAACATCTCTTGCTGCATGGATTTCGGAATCACCAGAAGGTGTTTATTACCTACTTCACGCTGGTTATAATGTCTGTTGGAGTTTTTCACCTTGTATAATAGACCATTTATTAATACATATGGATTCCGCTTGTCGTTGAACACCGGATTCGTATTCTGTTGTAGTTTCTCTATAATATAGTTCAACTTTGGGTCTTTGGACTGCTGTGTTCCGAGTTCGTCGAGAATATTTGTGTTTTCCCATAAGTTGATTGCTGTTTCTATTGTTGACAATACAGGACCACTGTCGTTTGTATCGTGTACCGGATTTCGAGAAAGTGAATCTGCATTTGTATTTTGATGCGCCGGTCGGTACCGAATGCTTTCGATTTGGTAGGCAGACAGCTTCATTGCCCATCGAGCTAGTCTGCCGGTGACGTCTTTGGCGTTTCTCATCCATTCAAGGGCTTTACAATCCGATCGAATGAGTACTTTACTTCCTTCGATGTATACTCGGAAATGCTTGGTGGCCCAAACTATTGCAAGTGCTTCACGTTCCGTTGCACCGTATTTTCTTTCGATGGCCGACAATGTTCGACTAGCATAAGCAATGACATATTTTTTGTTATCGTACTCTTGAGTAAGTATCGCGCCCAAGCCATATTCACATGCATCAACTTCGAGTATGAACGGTTGTTCGAAGTTAGGAGTGTTCAGAATTGGGGCTGTTGTCAGTTTTTGTTTTAACGTGTCGAACGCTATCGTACATTCCGGTGACCATTGCAGATGATGATTGCCGGTTGTTGAGTAACGTAATTGCTTGATGAGCGGTTCGGCGATTCTAGCGTAGTTATTGATAAATCTACGGTAGTACCCAGTCAGACCAAGGAATGACTGTACATCCTTGACTGTTCGTGGTAATGGGAATTCGACGACTGCTTTGATCAATCCTGGATCCGGTTTGATTCCTTCACGAGTAATAATGTGCCCAAGGTATTTTGTCTCTCGTCGACAAAAATGACACTTTGACACCTTTAATGTAAGATTAGCGGCCCGCAGGGCCTCAAATACCTTCTTTAGGTGTTGAAGGTGTTCTTCGAAGGAGGTTGAATATACGACTACATCGTCTATATATACGAGGCAGCATTGCCATTTTAGTCCAGCTAGAACAATGTCCATCAATCGTTGAAAAGTCGCTGGAGCGTTTGTCAATCCGTACGGCATAACTTTGAATTCGAATAGTCCTTTGTGTGTGATGAAAGCTGTTTTTTCCCGTGACTTCTCGTCCATTTCGACTTGCCAATAACCTGTTCGCAGGTCTAGAGTCGAAAAGAATGTGGATTCTTGTAGTGAATCAAGTGTGTCGTCGATCCTTGGTATAGGATACGCATCACGAATAGTTGATGCATTTAACTTTCGATAGTCAATGCAAAATCGGAGAGTTCCATCTTTTTTGGGCGCTAACACGACTGGAGAAGCCCATGGACTATTTGATGGAGTTATGACTTCTTGTTTTAACATATCTTGCAAATGTTCTCCAATAATCTGGCGTCGAGCGGGAGCATATCGATACGGTGGTGAATTGTACGGTTGAGATCCCGGAAGTAACTTTATTTCATGTTTGACTTTAAAAGTTCGCCCCGTTCTTTCACTAAATACGTCAGGAAAAGCTTGAATCAATTTTACCAGCTGCTGCTTCTGAATTTCATTTAAGTCAGTGTTAACCAAGTTTGGTTCAATTGAAACTATCTTTGGTGAAGCGCAGTGGCTTAGTGGCTTTTCGTGGTTCACCATGTTCACTTGGATCTCCGTCAGACGGGTCATAGTAGCTAATGGTTGACCGACGTGCACCATAATCGTTCTTCCCGTTAGGTTAGCAGCTTGTATCTGCAGGTTCTTTCGCGGGCTGACGATGCCGTTTGCAACACATGGAGATTCGCTGAGCGAGGTGATCTCGTATTCGTCAGTGTCGCCATTATCGACCGAAAAACGTCTGTCTGGTCGTACTCGAATATAGAACACGTGTGCCGGTGGAATTTTTAGCCGTTGATCTGCTAAGAGAATGTATTCGTCGTCATTACCATTTATCTTCACGTCCAAATGCCCTTTCGGCTTTTTCAGACGTGTTCGTTTAAAATAGGCGATTTGTCTTCGTCCATCGATATGTAGGTTATGCTTTCGAATGAGGTCGTTACCAATAATACATGGTCGCGACAGTTTTGGAACGACATACACTGTGTGAGTTCGAGTGGAATGGGCGATGGTGATCGGCAATGAGAGAACGTATTGGACATTTAATCGAGACCTATCAGCCAATTGTAAGTGCAATGGGGAGTTGGGAGTTCGAGCTTGTTGATGAAGATGAGGAGGCAGTTGTGCGAATAATCTTTTATTGATTAGCGTTAATGAGGCTCCTGAGTCAATCAGTAAGCGTATTGGTAATCCAGCGATTTTTCCGGGTACGGTAAGGGGACTAAAGTTTGGGAAATTAATTACATTGGTAGAAATTGTCCTTGTGACGGGTTTTGTAATTGGTGAGCGCTGTTGTCCCGTCTTCACAGGGCTCCCTCCTCGTTTTTTGGTTTCGATGTCATTGTTTCCCATGGATAGTTATTTCGGTTGTTGTTTGGACAGTTACCGGTGGAATGTCCGAAAAGTCCGCAGCTGTAGCATTTGGTTGCGCCCGTTGGTTGAGTCTTCGGTCGATGCCTAAATGGCCGTCTTCCTGAGTAACCTCCGTATGTTGAATCATTTTTGGCTCTTGGAAGTAGAGTACTGTGTTCGTTTTCTCTATTCACTTGCTGCTTCTGCTCGTGGATCGAGTTATTCTTGGAACTACTGCTGTTGTCTGGTGTAGCCTCTTGAAACGACACTTGTTTCAAATATTCGGTTCGTCGTTGTTCCTTCTTGCGACGATACAAAATTTCTTCGACTTTCTGGGCCTCCGTCATAATTTCATCGAGCGAAGCCCCTCGAGAGACTCCGATCATCGTGAGTAAATCACTACGCATTTTGCATAATAAATGCTTGACTAAATCGACTTCAGTTTCTTTTGGTTTTTGTTCTGACCAAATCGCACGTAAACGGACCAAGAATTCATTGATCGTTTCGTCGTCCTTTTGCTTGCATTCGTACCATTCTTGTTCTTGACGCGCTTTTCGTATAGGCGAGTTGAATTGGGCCAGAAATAGGTCGACGAATTCTATCCAGGTTTCGGGTCGTCGATGAGAAGCTCTTAGTTGACAGTACCATTCCAGAGCAGTTTCTCTCAAGAATTGTGAGATGCCGTGGAGCAGGTTAATTCTGTCCCAACCGTGGACCGTTTCAGCGTATTCTTGCACTCGAACTAAGAATTGTTTTGGGCGTTCGGAGTGCTTGCCAGCGAAAGTCGGTATTGCCGATGTTGGCGGTATCACGATTGCACGAGGCATCACTGACATGGCTGGAGTTCTCGAAACGTGAGCTACATACTCATTCATACTTCCTGTTTGGAAAGGATTGTTTGATGTTAATAACGTTGGAGTAGAATGCTCGACGGGAGTACTTCCGTGTCCACTTAAAGTAATGTGTCCTGGTTGTTCTTCTCTTTTCAACACGTCCAGTTGTTGCAAGATTATTCGCAACAGTTGATGATATTCATCTAGTTTCGCTATTGTTTTAGCGTGCCATTCGCCAGTCTCGGCTTGTGTTCCATCAATTCGACTTGATAAATCTTCGCGAAGCCTAGTCATTGCTGTCGACGTCTCTTCATGTCGAGTAACATTCGCGCTGTGAATTTCTTTGAATTGATTTTCCAATTGTGTCACACGATCGGTAATACGTGAACACGTTTCCAATAGGTGGTGAACAGCTTTTTCCACTGTGACTTTTTCGGTTACGGATCTTTCCGCTGCCATAGTCGTTAATGTATCGATTTACTGACTTTGAAATATTGACCAGAGTTGCAGTTGTTGATACTTCTTATTCGTTCATCCTGCCAGAGTCGCCAATTGTAACGAAAAATATATTAGGGTAGAGGAGGAGTCGGGGCGTCTTATATAATCGTGGTGGATGTATATAAGTGTGACTTGAAGGATGCACAACACAAGGAACAATAAACCGTGTTAATTTATTTGAAATGATAAGACACGGATATACAATGTTTAATGTAAGAAGCCACGGCACACAATAAATTCGAGTGAATGGGTGTCTCTATAATGTTATGANAGTTTGTTATGAAACGTTATGACCGATAGAACCTAATTGAAACTAATATTTACTATATTTTCTTTGCTTCGAAAGCACATGAGCTCCACAAAACAGTCAACGTATATATCTTAAACGTTTTATTGTAAAAGCTAATACATTTCTATATTAGTGAAAAATACACATCTTTCAAAAATTTCACCAGAAAGGCTCTAAGATCAGTAGGAGCACTCAGCCTCATTGGCTACACCGTTGTTACAAAGTGAGTTATAGAATTTAATGGATTTGAAAAATCAGAGACATCAATTGACCTGGCCTGTAGGCTAGGTCAGGCCAGGCAGCAGGCCCGGCCAGGTCGGAAAAAAGTGGCCTGTTGGCATCTCTGACTAATACTAAAAGAGAAGAAAAATTCGTTTGTATGTACACACCATTTGTCTTAAAATTTTTATGGCTGATGAAGTATCTTATCGAGATACGAAACGTCACAATTTCTAAATTTTTAAATTTAAATAAATAAACTATAATATCAAATCAAATTAACTTGATTTAAATTTAAAATTAAATTAAATTAAACAAAAGAAGAGAATTAAATTATGTCAAATATGTCAACCTTC